AAAAAGCTGCACCCTTGAAACAAACACAGAAATTTACAGTGCTGACTCAAACCGAGGCGTCTGAAATGTCCACATTCCCAAAAAGAAACCAAACTTCTAGCACATTTGTAGCTCAAACCATCCCACAAGTTGGCACAACCACGCTTGATAATGGCACCTTAGGGGTTAGGTCAAGTTTGAAGAGGTCACTATATTCTCCTTCAATTACCTCTAAAGGAAAAGGAAGTTCTGAGTGGAGCACTTCGTTTGTTAAGATGTCATCGTCCGTTGTGACCCCGTTTTCTCAACTTCCTCCTACTCACTTGTCATCAACACCAGGTGTTCTTCGTATCGTCATAACTAAGTCAGCTAACCTGTCATTCCCTACTACAGTAACCAACGCTACATCCATACCGGGATCTACGGCTGGAGATCTTATTAAAGGTTTGTCAAGCCAGTCAGTTATAAAACAGTTTCCTCCCGCATCTATTACCCCATCTGCATCGAGACGTCCAGTCAGTGCCGTGAATACGAAGATGCCTACTCCATCGCCAACAACCACCCAACCTGCCATACTGACAGTTTCACGAGAGGTGTTGATGCCAAACACAAGATCAGTTAGCAAAAGGAAAAAATTATATTCTCTTGTAAAGGAAACTACTAGTGCAAAAGTGACACTTATTTCATCAACAGCGCCACAGCTGAGAGAATTAACGAGGTCTTTATTGGTGTCATTGTCTTTACAGCGAAGCTTAAACCTATCGTCAATGCCAACAACCTATCTGGCTGAAGAAGTAAGAACGTTGTTGGGTCTTGACCTCAGGGCATCAACTGGTGCAAAGGTTGTATCCACATCAAGTCTTGTTTCAGTGTCGTTGTCTCGAGGGATTTCATCCTCTCTGAATTGGAATGCAAAATTTTCATCGCTAACCACCATATCCGGAGAAAAGGTGACAAAGACATCTGGACTCACTAAAGAGAAGCAGACCAGTTCCCTACGATTTTCTGTACTGTCTTCCAGCATAGAACCGCATAGTCCCGCAACGAACAAGCATGTACCAGCTTCGGTGTCTTTACCGCCCTCTCAGTCAAAACCAATAAATTCATCCCAAGTGAATCATAGGAACTCATTGCTTCGTATACGACCGAACTATACGTCATTTTCTCCTTATAAAACTCAAGAACTTCTGACGTCCTCTCAGATTTCCAATACAAATATGACGACTAAGAAAAACAAAATACCTAGAAACGGAAATTTGCAAGATTTTGACCAGCAAAATGTCTTTCGTTACAGTGGTTTGAGCAAGACTGTGAGTGAATTAAATGCTAACGTTCCTAACATGCGACCCATACAGGGATTTAATCGCTCTGTTGTAACGCCTGTCTCCACAACTCCAAGAAATAGAAATAACTTTACAAACGGTATACTGCAACTCAGTGACATTAAAAACGCCACAAGCCACAACAGAGTACCATTCCGAGGCTTAACCCACCCATCGAGCGTGGCCAAAACCCCGCATTTGCTTACATCCATTTCGCTGCTCAGTATTAATTTTTCTATTTCGGGGACTCACAACACCTCGAGAGGAATCAAGAGCTCTTTACATGAGTTACGCTCGCCCACTACATCGACTTTAACAAACAATAGTTTTTCGATTGTGAACCCATCACCAGTTGGTGAAGTGCCCGTGGCTCCTCTGCGTTTGCCACTCGTGCCCAATGAGGTAAAAGGGAATCATAGCTCTGCGGGAGAAAAACACAAACGTTTGGAAATTCCTTTTGCCGGTGGAGTACTGGATCAAATAGAAATACTTCATTCAGCCTCAACCTTGTCACAGCAGCATTCCACACCTGCGAGCCTATATTTTACGCCAATATCTGGACTCTATCTCGAACAAATAACTCGTGTCTATGAATTGTCCCATCGTCTTTCTGATAAAATGTCACACATTTCGTCGAACTTTTCTGAGAATTTGGCCTCTTCTGAAACGAAGCATGTGGCAAGAAAGAGCAAGACACCTGAGAATGAGCGAGAAAGAGAAAGTAAGGCAAACGTGGGGCGGAATATGCAACACTTAACCTCAGCCAGCAACGATGGTGAAACTCTTCCAGCGTCTGCTTTGAAGTCTCCCGTTTCAGTTACGTATTCAAGCACCACAACATCAGTGAAACAAGGCAAGGCCAATGACAGACTTCTCTCGCAATTCGAAGCGACACAACTAACGTTGCATTCTACTCCCTTATCTCAAAAGGACCAAGTGGTTCGTTCTTCATCTTTATGGCTCGCAAAACAAACACCACCCATCAAGCTGATTCCTTCGGCAACGGCTGCGCCACTGGAAAGGGAACATAATAAAATACGGACTCGTGTTCTAGCATACACCCCAACATCATACTTCCGCCAGTCGAACTCAATGGTAGACGGGAGTAGTACAATTCGAAAAGAAGATGGTGGGACAGTGAAAACCGCCGTCGTTCACGGCACAGTGACTCGATTTTCTTCGGAAACAAACAAATCAGGTGTTCCTACGACAATTGCGCATGATCAACAGAATGGCATGTTTGGCTACTTCGCTCAGCTTCTGAAGAGCATCAAAGACATTCTAACAAAGAAAAACCGCAGAGTGGGCGAAACGTCCATTGTCCCGTTAGCATCGAACGTGCAACAAGCTGGAAGGGGAACAGAAAATCCATCAAACTTTGGTTTTGCACATTCAAGACTACTCGTCTCTAAAACAACTCTTCAGCAATTCAGTTTTGCACCGGTGTCCTCAAGTAAAACAACAGAGATAGTGAGTGTGTTAATATCAAAATCCACAAAAGCCTTGGATATGTCGCTGGCGATGCAGCCATTGCATCAAATGGCCTTAAATGTCACTGGAATTGGAATAGCGGCTTTATGTAAACATTCAATACCGCGCGAGAATTCAACATTGCGAGGCGGAGCGCAGTCGGGTCTCTTTAAAGAGGTGGGAAAGGTCAACAGTGATACCGAGTGCATCAGTCAGTGTTGTATTTCAAACTCATGTGACGCCGCCTTCTTGTTGTTGAATCGCTGTTTTTTGGTCACGTGCAAAAGCAAGAGTCTCTGCGAGAGTGTCCCAGCTAAGAATATTGTTTTCAGACCCCGAGTAATCTACATGGAAAACAAAATGGCGCTAAACAGACGAGGGAGAGTTCAAGAAGGATCAAAATCCTTATTTTCAGGCAGTCAATCAGGAAGCATAGCGTTGAAGAAAAGACATCATTCATCTTTTAATCCACCGCAGCTTAAAAATGAAAGAGAAGATCCCTGCAAAGCGTCAATAATTCGACAAAATGTAACTCTCAGAGGTGGAATCAGAAGTGGGTATTTTAGAGACCAAGGAATTGTCAAAAGTATGCAAAAATGTGTCGAACTCTGCTGTGTTTCAGACAACTGCACTGTTGCGTTTCTGCTTTTAAATCGCTGCTTTTCCGTTACATGTTACAGCGAGTCCCTGTGTAGCACTATACCGGCCCGAAATTTGATATTTCAACCGCAAGTGGCCTATATAGCACGAAATGACGTTTTAATACTTACACCAAGCAATACTCTTAAATCAACTGGCATTTCGAAGACGCAAACAATCTCAAGAACTTTACCTGCCTTAGATGAGGTATTAGCAGCAAATAGCTCAACGCGTCCGAGTGACAACTGTCATCATGGTAACACTGAGAAAAACGTAACCTTCCGAGGTGGACTAAGCGCGGGTTCTTTCTTAGACACTGGTGTAGTTAGTGACATCGAGGAATGTGTAAACAACTGTTGCCATGCAACTAAATGCGACGTGGCCTTCATGATAATGAAAAGATGCTTTTTAGTGACGTGCTATAGTGCTCGCTTGTGTCAGAGTGTCCCTGCCCGCAATATGGACTATCTTACTGAAATGGTACATGTTTTCCGAGATGAAACCGCTGTGGTACGAGATCTTCTCGCAAGGATTGTACAGCCTTCATCACTAAGTGTTAAAATGAAAAGACTCTCCTCGACACTGAGTATTACCAATTACAAAAAACATCTTCAGAATACTAGAACCTCACTGTTTATTAATGATGTCACGGATAGCGTGACAGCTATCAAGAAAGACAAACATTTGCCAGCAGGGAGCCATTTAAGTGGCACCTACATGGGGTCAAGTTTATCTTCTACGCCACCCGCTTTACCTGCTCAAGGGGCGTTCATCGAATCAGTGATTGCACCGTGGAACGTCAACAAACATGAGAATGTTGGGTTAATTCAAACATTAAGTATGTCAACACGTCTAAATCGAACTCGTCATACCTTCGATCAAACAATTACGCCATCTTCACAGACTGTTCTTTCACTTTCATTGACCTCGGGATGGCGTGAAAGTGTTGGAAAAGTAAGTGGCCAAGGAAAACAATTGGAAACTGGATTGTCTTTGGAAGATGAAATATGTCAAAGCACATATGTTTACTACAATGCAACCATGCGTGGCGGAATTAATGCTGGCGTTTTCAAAGACCAAGGAGCCGTGCAGAACATGCGGAAATGTATTGAACAATGTTGCCGATGGCAGTTCTGTAGCGTGGCATTTATGCTTTTAACTCGCTGTTACATAATAGCTTGCTACAATGAACACTTGTGCGATCCCGTTCCAGCAAGGAATGTCACGTTTACGCCTCGGGTCGCTTTTATCTCTCGTGTCCGAAGAGATCACGGTTTGGAAAACATCTCAGCGCCACTGTTAAAAAAGTCTTCGAAATTCGACCTGAGAACTTCACCGTCAGAGACAAACTCGACGGCCATTAAAGCACTTTTACACACAGGAATTATATCTCCGTCCACAGAAACTTCCAAGATAATGACTTTTTCTCACTCTCCTGAGGTCAAACCTTCTCCGTCTCGCTCGATGATTTCCAAAGTGTTTACACTTGACTCAAGATCACGTCATAATTGCACTCAGAGCGAAGAAAAGCATAATGTAACGCTCCGAGGAGGACTCGGTGCGGGGCATTTTAAAGACATGGGAAAAGTCCCGGGCATGCAAAAATGTATTAATTTCTGCTGCATGCAAGAACATTGCGACGTTGCGCTAATGCTTTTGGAAAACTGTTTCACTGTAATCTGTCACAACAAACGCCTCTGTGAGAGCGTACCTGCTAAGACGGGGCGGTACAAGTCAAGAATGGTTTTCGTTGGGAATGCTAGCTCTGTTTCTTCGATCCATTTATCAAATAAACCAACCAAGACAATCTCCCTTCTTGATGCGGCTTTGCAAGCTATGGGAGAATATCATGTGAATGGGACTTCTCCCGCTGGAACAAAAATCACCTTTTCAGATAGGACCAGTGCCTTAAATTCGAAACAACTCGCTAAAATGCCAGTACCCTCTCAGTCGCTTAAAGTTGCTGGGCTGAAAAGCAGCGAGAAAAATTATACAAATCAAACCAAAGACAGGAAAGAACATCTGCTTCCAAGTCTTTCAGAAGAGTTGAAACGATCTGCGACGATGACTAATTCAAGTCAGTCGCACCACAATCAACTTGACCTGATGAAAAAATCTGAAACATCGGGTCACAACATCACTTCGCAAACTTCTTCAACAGTAAGGTTGAACGCAAGTGTTTTGGCTCCCGGCGAGTCAAGTAAATCAGCCATAGAGGAGGGGTTAAAGTCTGGGAATAAATCTGGGCTAAGATTGGCTTTTAGTGACTCCTCGCGACACTTAACCACTCAACCTTCCCCTTGTCTCAATAGTCCGATCTCTTACAATGTTACGCTACGCAACGGTATCCGATCGGGCTATTTCAGAGACCAGGGGAGGGTTGAGAACATGAGCGAGTGTGTACAAAAGTGCTGCAGCTCTGAGGACTGCGATGTGGCTTTCTTGCTCAAGCAACGATGCTATCTAGTCAAGTGCTACACCAAGCAGGGATGCGAGACAGTTCCAGCCAGACACAGTGAATTCAGACCACGTGTTTCGCACGTCCGAAGGGCAAATGATTCCCAACTGATTTCTTTTATGGACGAACAGGAAACAGACAACAGGCACGATTTTAATGGGAAAACACCTTCCGTCCAGCCTCGTAGCAGTACTCAGTTAGAACATATTACATCGTCATCGACCCTCCCCGCACTAGTTAAATCCGTCGATCATAGGCGTAAACAGAAAGAGAAACCAAGAACGTCCTCAGTTAAGATAAAGGCGTCTACACGTCACGGAAAAAGAAAAAATCTCAAAGTAAAAGCAAGAAGTAGAGTTGAAACTAGAAGCTCAGGAAAGCGCAAGAACACAGTTCACGTGACCAAAACACCAAACACTGATAAAATTAACAGAAGAAAGTCCAAAAAGAGAAAACAGAGAAAGAAGCAGAACGATAGTAAGAGAGAAGCAGCCAAAGCCAAACAACAGCATTTTAAGAATAAGCTTGAGAAGAAAAAGGATCGGAAACTCTCCAACCGTGATCTGGATCAGTTATTCCAGCTCATGAGACCCGCTGAGCCGGTGAGTCACTCTTCAAGCAAGTCAGAGTCTGTTGCGTCAATCATTCCTTCCAAAGACTTAAAGAACAGAATGAATCCTGTGGAATTGATAAAGGAAGATGAAAGGAATGACTTACAGTACGAAAATGCAACAATTACAAATTCCGTTCCAGACAAGCGAATTTCACATGAGGAAACTCGTCATAGGGCCAGTCCTACAGGCGAGGAAAACGAGAAGTCAAATAAGACAACAGCAGTTACACACCCACGAGAGCGTCCTCCTTCTCTTGAAGGCCAAAGGAGTTATACTTCAACAAAAGGTGCAAATTCAATGGTAATCAAGGCTTATAATAAAGCTAAAGTTGAAAATAGCGTTTCTGGTAAAGTGAAAGTTTCATTTGAAAAGAAAGGAAATGGACATAACAAAAAGCTCGACATAACACTGATCGCTAAACCAGCAATGAAGGCCACGCGCCACAAACCAACAGCCAAGGAAAAAGTGACCTACACCGCTAGCAAAGATTTACTTAAACACGCGAGAAGACCAACCGTTGGTAGGCACTCAAGCCCAACTGCAACTACAGCACGTGTCAGTCTCACACAAAAGCCTACAGTTAAGCCACCTAAAGTCTTGTCGCATAACAGGAGGAAATTCCGTGCGACAAAATCCACTGTCCCTGCCGTACCCACTCAAGCTCCTGATGCCGAAGTGTCAAGTTGTGTAACAGGTGAAGTGGAATACAACCGAACTTTACGAGGCGGACTTTCTTCGGGTTTGTTCCACGAGGTGGGCAAAGTGAACGACATCCATAGTTGCTCGGAGCACTGCTGTGCCAGTCTTATCTGTGATCTAGCATTTATGGTACTTAACCACTGCTTCTTGGTAACTTGTTCAAGTTCTAATCCCCATATGTGTGATAGCACACCAGCCTTGGCGACGACTTTTCATCCGATGATTTCTCGCGTTTCACGAAGTGAAAGTGGACAACTGACTGATCATGGGACGGAAGCTGCATCAACTGGCAAGATAAAGCCTGCCCAGGCTATGAAAACTAATGTTTCACCCACTTTGTCTAAAAATGTTACAGTAACGAAAGAACCGGTAGTTGTCCAAAACATGATCAATCAAACAAGCTCTAAAGATCCACTAAATTTGTCTACCAAGCCGATTAACACGACTCTAACAGTAACGACAATAGGGGAGGTCGATCAAGTTTCCATGGTGAATCCGCCAACTCCTCCAGGCTGCATTTCTTCTATAACGGCACACAATGTTACTCTAAGAGGCGGTCTCCATGCAGGAAAATTCACAGACGCTGGTAGAGTCAATGGGTCTTACATTTGTACTGAACTTTGCTGTAAGTCAGATGAATGTGACGTGGCATTTTTCGCGTTTCATCGATGTTTTTTGGTAAAATGTTTCGATGAGTATCTTTGCACTTCTACGCCTTCGCTTCTGCCGAACTTCAAACCAACAGTTGTACACGTATACCATCATCATTTTAAACCAACGCCCAAACCAGCGACAACTTTACCACCTATCAACGACGTGCTTAAAGAAATCGAAGATGAGACGCAAACAAAATCGAAGAAGAATAGGAAAAAGACATGCGCTCACTCTGAAGTTTATGAAGAAGTTACTCTCAGAATGGGCTACAAAGCTGGCAATTTTACTCCACATGGCAAGGTCAACTCTACAAGTCAGTGCGTGGATTACTGTTGTAGCCAACCGCATTGTGACTTAACGTTCATGTTTCTCAACAACTGCTTCACAGTGTCTTGTATCAGTGGCTACGCCTGCGAGATCGTTCCTGCAAGGCAGTCCAGATTTAAACCGAAGGTTGTATATTTTGTCAAGAATAATTCCACAAGAGTGATCAAACCATCAGAGTTTAACTCTTCTCTTACTGATCCTGGATCGTTTGTGGGAAAACAACCGGTGAATGCCGTGCACTATAAGGAGGTGCGGTTGAATAAGAAAAACAGTAATTCTTACCAAAAAGACGTCAGCCAAGGAAACAATAACACCGAAACAGTGGATGAGATATTTGTCGAAGTCCCAGAAAACGCGGTCACTTCTCGCAATAAAATTAATAATGCTGAAAAGGCGAAAGTACAAGCTAAGTTCAGCACTAGCAAAAACACTACTCTCATCTTAAGCCGTCTGAGCACTAGAAAACATCTTAAGAACGAGCATAAACTCGGAATGAAAAGTCATAACCGAAGCCAAGCAGTTAAAAAGATTGATATTGTCCTAAATAAGTTAACCAACGTCACAGAAGAGAACAAACGCCTTGAGGGAGAAATTCACAATCTTATCGCTAAACAGTTCGAGCAGGTGAATGAAAAGAAAATAGCGACTGGTGCTTCGGGTAGAAGTAAGGAGGCAGCAAAGAAACTAAACAAACAAACAAGGAAAGGGAGAGGAAGAAAGGATTGGCATCAGACCAGCAGACGTGTAGATAAAGAAGGGGCTAGTGAGTATGGATCCGGAATAGACTCCAACGCGCAGAAAAGAGTGGTACTTGTGGACACGGACAGACCCCCTGTCTATCCGCCTACAGACGAGCATCGCATTGAAGAGCATAGTATCCATTCATTCCAGTCCATAAAGCCTCAAAAGAAACCTCGACAGAAAAGGCCAAAGGCTCCAACCACTCAGAAACAGCGGAACATTTCAAAATCCATGCAAAACCATTGGGATCCAACAAATGAACACGATATTGAAGAGCATGTCATTTATAATCATACGAAGAAAGAGAGACACACAAGCAAACCGAACAAGAAAATGCACGGTGAAGTCCAAGAAGGCTCTGAGATTCTGTACGGACAGCCTGAAAACGACAAAGACGATAACAGTGAAAAAGAACCACAAGAGGGCATTTGGAACAATTTTAACAATGACCGCAAGGATCCCGGGGAACATCATCATGATCAAACGGTATCTAGTGGTGGATCGCACTTTGTCGTTAAGAATGAAAATGCGAGAGAGAAAACCGACAAAGGTGATTTCTATTCTGAACATTATGATGACTCAAAAACCTCAGAAAACCGCGAGTGGTTTGGTGCTGGGGGTAGTAACAGAGATAACCTAGAGAAGATTCAAACGCCCAAGAACCTGCCTCGTGGAAATAAAAGAAAGCAAAGTGAATTTCACCAGCCAAAGTCATCGAGAAGGCATGAATGGATGAATGTGGGCAGTGGAGAAGACGATGTCAAGAACCACCAGCAAGAAGATATCTCAACTGAACTTGTTCGTTTACCTCAACAACATGCGTACAAGGAAAGTTCAGTAAATGATTTCCATATTCATAGGGACGATAACCCAAAAGACTCTGAAAGATTTTCCTGGAGGAGTTCGAGGAACAGAGACAATGATAATATGGAAAACTTTATAAATCAAGTCACTCCGACTCATAAGTCGCATTTCCATTTTAGAAACCAAAGGAAGAAAAATCGTGATAAAAATGAAGAATTCCACGCTGAAAAACAGGAAGAAGAGAGTGCATCTGAAAATCATAGGTGGATAAGTTCGAGCGACGCTAACAGTGGCTTAGAGGAAAACTTCCCAGTGCAAGTGGCTCCTTCTCATCAGAGAGAGTTCCAGTTCGATGAACAAAGAGGAAACAAGAATAATAATGGGGAGAAATTCCATTTTCAGCACAGCAATGTTAATTCAAAGCATTCCGGAAGAAATGTTTGGCTAGGCAGTACTCGAAATAAAAACACAGATCGTGTAGGAGGCTTTCACGATCAAAAAGCACCGAGTCATAGAGTACGTTTTGATTACACAAACAAGAAAGCGAATGGCAACAGAGACGAGGACGAAATCTATGTTGATAATGAGGACGAGTCAGGTAATACTGAAACACGAGTGTGGAGTGGTTCGACACGAGAGGGAGATCGCATGGGAAGCTTTAACAAGCAAGTAGGTCCAACGCATGAGTCACGATTCCATCTTCAAAACAAGAGAAAGAACAAGGAAACAAGTCAGGATAAAATGCAGATTGATGTTCAAACTTATCCAGAGGATTTGGATGAGCCTGTGTGGAGTAGTGGGAGGGATAGGAGCAAAGATGACGTGGAAAGCTTCCGCTTGCAAATAGCGCCCACTCAAAGATCTGGTTTTCAGTGGAATGATCACAGAAAGAGCAAAGTTAAGAGCGGGGATAAAATTCACCTACAACACCAAACTGGTGGTGAGCCTGTTCCCGATTATGGCAACGTTTGGGACCGGGAAAAGTCGATGCAAGGTAGTTTGCGAAAGGAGCACAAGTTTGGCTTCACCGTAACTAAATACGTTGAGCCGACTTCGTCAGAATTTGCTAGATTAGACAAGAACTTTGAAAAATATCACCCAGAGCATAGCATTGAAAGGCCTGCCTTTGTGAAAAACGACTTTTCTCAAGCACAGAAGAATTTGATGGCAGTTAATGGTGAAGGTAGCGCAAAACAGCATGTGACAAGAGCGAACTATAGTCATGGGAAAACTGACTTTGACGCGGTATACAAAAAAATAAATAACATCTATAAACGCCTAGAGAATCTTCTTGAAGAACATTCTAAAAAGGAAAGTAATGCAACGTTAGCCTCTTTCAACGAACAGAAAGGAGGAGGGTATGAAGTAGAAAATAACCATGTTAGAAGACTCGAAGAAGATATTCCAACGCCACCGGTATCAGCTTCAAGGCCAACAACTCGAGCCTCGAGGATTGCAACGCGTACTAAGAAAGTCAGAGTTGTGAAGCAATATGTAACAGATGATTTGGGGGGCTCAGGTACGTCACCAAGGAGTCATGGTGAGAGCCTGATGGACTATATTAAAACAATCTATAGCCGAGTGCAGTGGTTGTATAAGAGGAGGGATAGGCGCACATCTGTTAAACTAAAGACCAAAATAACCAGCCGCAAAAGAAAGAAGTCACATCACCTTCATAGCCCAAGAGAGAGAACCCAAAATAGGAAAACTAATAGAAGAAAAAATCAGTCTGAAAAAAGGAAAGTACATCATCGTGGGAACATCCATGAAGAAGCCCTCCTGAAGGAGATGAGGCAAATTTATAGAAATATGAAGAAACTATACAGTGACCAGAGGAAAGAACAGAGAAAAGCAAAAAAGATTAAAGAAAGAGCCGAAAAGCATCAACACCAGCGCTCCTATATTCCTCGGCAGCGAGGGACGAGTGCAGTTCCGAATGGCCTGGTAACAAGTAAGGATTCCAATCCGCTGACTAGCCGTGCGACAGGTCCGCAATCCCAGCCACACGTTCATGAAACCGGTGGGTACCTGTTATGTATTGTCTGATCTGCAATTTGAGAAATTTTGTCTTAAGAAACGTGGATATCAAAAGCAGGTTGTGAAAACTGTCCGAAAGAATCAATTTACGAAGCTTGGAAGGCTTAGCTGCACTCAGAAAGTCTTAAATAACCTGAATTCGTTAGATAACGATACATCAAAAAAGCCGGTTTGTCACTTTTCCTAAACTTCCGCCCCAATCGATGTGTCTTTTGCTTCACTTCATTTAGGACAGGACGCAACAAAGGAAATTGTAAATAATTTTTTATTCTTTATTTCTTCAATCTTTTATCTCAGCTTATGGGCCTAAAACTACAGGTGAAGTCCCAGTCCGGTCTCAGAATGAAAACCCCTGGTATCGTAAGAAACTCAGACCAACAGAACCTCGAAAAACGCAACACGATAACTTGAGAAGACATGGCGGTATTTTGGCGAACAAGATCTCTTCGAGACATCCCACCGTGAACCAGTCTTTCATTGACAAGATAGTTGAAGAAATCGAAGCAAAGCATCCGATTCTCACAAAGGAAAAAAGTAGCAAAGATGATAGCTTACAACGACTAATTGACAATGTGGCGGATAGTGTCGTCAAACAGGTCACAGAGGAGTTTACCGAGCCGCAGGCCAAGCCAAGTAGACGTGTCAACGTACCTAAACCATGGTCGCAGACAGAAATATCGGTTCCCACCGGTACTATGGCAGACATGCCTCTTCTTAATGACTTTCAGAGTAAAAAGCCCTACGCGAAATCTTCTTTGGTAAAAGATATTACCCCAGACCTCCCCCCTGAAATAATCAGCAGTGACGAGGTCAGTGGACAATTGTTGCCTGACTCCTCCCCGGAGGAAGTCAAACCCTCGTCAAAGTCACCGCCTCAGAGATCACGCTTCGCACATCAAAGGCCGCAACCTGAGGAACCAGGAATGCAAGAGATGCGTGAAATGTTTAAGTTCAGACATCGGTACGATAAACAGAAGCCCAAGTCGCAAAGCGGGAAGAAAAAGGTTACAATCCCTGCCACAAGTGAAGGTATAATATTTATTCTGTTAAATTATTATTTTTTTCGTCCGTAACTTCTTAAACTGTTCTTGTAGGTTACTCATTGGTTTTAAAAAAAAGAAGACAATTGTTTTAAGGCTCATTTTTATTTGTTATCCTGACATTTTGTCTCTATAATCCGTCTGTCCGACGTTAATCTTTGTTCACAATATTAAGTCAGAGGGTTCATTCTATTAATTCCTCTATTTCTATCAAGGAATATTGATTAAAATTAATTTCAATACATTCATCAAACCTTTCAAGCTACAGTTTTTGTAAAATGTTACGTTCATGATAATCAAGGGGACTTCTACACTCCAATTTTGTAATCTCGTTTATTTTATCGTCTATCCCTTTTTCCCTTTTTTTTTGTTTTTTATAGAACTTTAGAAACCCTCTATAGATTTTACGTATAGTTTATTTACGTATACGAAACAGACAGATTTTTCTCGTAAAAGCCGTGCTGCGTTCAACACTCGCACGTAGATGATCTAATTAAATGTTGAATTAGTTTGTTCACCTCTAATCTGTCATACCTTGACAAAGCCGGTTTGACCGAATAGCATAACATTGTAAGAGATCTTTAAGAGCTCTTGCATTGTTGTGCTGTTCGGGAAAGCTTAATCAACAGCGTGCAACGACCAAGAAAAGTTACATCGTAACCTCTGACCCACCCATTTTATTATTTTAGGCACTCGTTTTTGAAAGGTTTGTTTTAAAGCCAACGCAATCGTATTCTATTGTAGCTGGTTGTCGATGTTTTCTGTTTTTTTAGCTTCCCTTTTTTATCATCACGATAGGAGAAACGGATGTAAGCTAACGGAAAAAAGACACCATTGTTTTCTGTATTTAACTCTATTACGCCTAGGGGAATTTCTCTGTATTTATCGATTCATTTTGAAGCGGAGGATTAATGAAGTGAAAAAAAACAAAATATAATTTAAGGGATATTGTTTGATTTTGCCTCAAATTCTCAGAAACAATTTTTTTAGGAAATAAACGAAACGGTTGTTCACTTAAACCAGAAGGCAGGGATGCCGAGGAGCAAGTGAAAGCAGCTGTAACGGGGGCTTAATTCTTTGGGTTTGTTAATTGCTCCCTTCCTTGCTCCAAGTGTATTTTAAACACCAACAAGCCATATTTAAATTAGCTTTTGCTGCGTATTTCCCACAGACGAGTTCAAAATCAGTAGTGTTACCTGCATAATTAAACAAAATGCATTTTTTTTGTTTTTTTTTTGTTATTCAGGTAACGCAGCCTACTTAGTGCTTCATATAGGCTTTGAAGAAATCGAAAATCGCACAGCCCTTGACAGCTCAGAGCATAAGAACAATGCCATTCTTAGCCCAGAGGTGCGCCTCTCCGTGACCGAGTCCAAATGTGGCTCTGCCCTGAGCATGCGCGGTGGACGCTTAGTTTTCACCCATTTCAACAGTCGTCCACGTGAGGCGATAACAATCACTTTGTGGCTTAAACTAGACTCAGTCTCGGGAACAGCCACTTTGTTCAGGACGACGGGGTCTGGAGCTAAGTACAACCTACAGTACCGCGAAGGCAATATTCATTGGTCTCACGTAGATGACTTAGGGCACATAATATTTAGCATGGCAACAAGGCAGACGGTAGACTCGCTAGATTGGGTACATCTCAGTGTTACTTATGACGCACACATCAACATGAGCAAGATTATTTTGAACGGAGCCGTTCTGGACGAAAAAGAAGGCCATGGATTGCTATCGCAAAATTGGGACGGCGACGTCGGGATCGGAATTCCCGAAGGGATAAGAGGACTTATCGACGAATTTTATATGTACAATCATGCGCTTGCCGTGTCCGATTTAAGTGATCTGTCGGAGGAATGCAATCCTGGAGCAGGTATTAAACATACTTATTGTGCAACTTTGTTTTCTGTTTTCTTACTAAATGCCCAAAGAAAAACCAAGCATTATGTTCTTGGCAAGCTCGTTGAACATGATGCGTCAAAAATCCTAAACAGTGATTAAGGTAATTAGACCTTTCGAGTCCACAGTTCCAGTTCTCGTGGTAACATGATTGTTTTTTGCTGCCAATGACAACAGACCTAAGATTGCTTTATACTCCACTCTACTACATGTACCGTTTGCTCAGGAAATCATCAATCGTAATCTTGAATGAAGGCTTTTAGGGATTTTTATATTATGGTATGATAAAGCGATGGGAAAAATATTATGAGTACGAAACTATATGCAAAACAATAAAAATGAATCAATCTTTATATACGACTTTGCATACCTGTTGAAAGCTATTAGGTTGTTAAAGTTTGGCTAATTGCACTGTGTGACCTTCGTTCAGGTGGGGCTATTCCTCTTAAGGAAGGAAGCTACGATGGTCTCATACCTGACGACATGATTCAAGATGCAATATTACAGCTGCATCCAAACGCTTCAACGACAAAAAAGCCGAAAGCTGCCATAACAACTCATACCACTGCCAGCACATCGCCTACAACAAGACCAACAACGCGGCCCACTTCGCCTACCACAAGGCCGCCCACAACAACATCAACAACAACCGCGCCTACAACTAAACCCGCAGCAAATGCCAGGACGACACCATATAAGCCAACTCTTCAGGTGCCGTCTAGCGCTTCCCTTTCTAAAAAGACTGGCTCGGGTACTATTCCGTCCACAATCACCTTACATGACGAGCCTAACTGCCAGCAAGGGATGTTTTATGATAGCAGCGAGTTACGAGGTGGCATGGATGCGGGCTTATTCATAGACCTGGGGCGAGTGAAAGGCTCAACAAGTTGTTTGAAATTCTGTTGTGAAATTGAGTCATGTGACCTGGTTTTCATGACGCGCGACAGCTGTTATGCCGTGGACTGTTACAATAACAAATTGTGCGAGCCTGTGCCAGCGGACTCTTACAGGAGTGACATGCCCAGCGTCCATTATGTCACCAGGAGTGGGAAGTCAGTTCTAGATGAAAGTGAGTACATTGTCGTGGAATTTATAAATTTTCCTCGTTTACAAATATGCCTCTGAGAAGCGTAGGCTTAATAAAAGAGCAGGAAGGACTGTTGCGTTTCATGAGAAGATATTTATGTCGTTGATGAATTTTCAAGATAATGTAACCACATTACAGTTTGTGGTATCATTACATTAAATGAAGTAAGAAATTAGACCAATAATTGCCTTAATGCACGATAGTGTTAACTAACCAACTGAATCGTAATCTTCCGCAAATAGTGATAAGTTTTGATGTAATCTAGTAGTAAACTGTTTTGCTTCTTGGCGTTTTTCTTGTTTATTTGTATTATTTAGCGAACATCAAAGGAGTACTTCCTCGTGGGAGAAGTGTTGGTTTCTCGTTGTTTACATCTTCTCTTTTAACGAAACATTTGCCTTTACTTCTTGATTACTTCACAGAGTTAAGAAAGTTAGAGCACCGACCAACAACTCCCCCAACTATCCAACTGCCAACCTTTCCACCGACACCCTACAGAACAACAGCAAATGATATGTTCCTTCCATACAAAGAAATCTCCACGCGTCCAACATTTGCTCCTTCAAACACAAAACGTTTCTGTGCCCAAGGAATGTTCTTCTACAACGTGAAACTTCGAGACGGCTGGAACGCCGGAATGCTGCTTCAAGTTTCTAGGGTACGGAGCATGGAGAAGTGCATCCAGGTTTGTTGTGACGAGCCTGCTTGCGACTTTGTGATGCTGAAACAAGGGAGGTGTTACAGTGTACGGTGTAAGGGTGGTGATACTTGTACGGTAGAGGAAGGAGGAGAATATCAAATTTCGTTTGTGAGCAGACAAGGTGAGAAATGAGCCAGTTCCTAACAGCTTTGGTGATTCACTGTATTTTGTGATCTTTTTTACCTGCTCATAGATTTCTCGTATTTTTAGTGGTACATGGGCCCAAGTGGTATATTAGAAATCGTTTGATTTGTAGGGATTTTTTTCTAGGTCTTCGCAAATACAATTAAATCAAACACGTAAATTTTGTACCACGTAAACCTGATAGCATTGTTGTACTAATTCATAAAACAGATATGGTCGAAGACGAAACACAATCCACACCGACCCCTACCCCACTACCTCTCAGTACTTTAGGAGGAAAAATGGACGAGCTGCCAGGTAGTCATCTACGTTATCTGTCGCTGTACCTTGGTTTTGATCACGTGATTGGTTCTGTGGCGGTGGACGGATCTGGCCTAAACAATGACGCAAGATTAACGAGAGGTAATTTAACATGGAGAAAATTTTAAAGTAATTGCCAGATCTTCGGGAGAAACAGACGATTTTTACCTCTCAATATTTTTTTATTCGTTTATGATGTAAATTAGGATAGCTGTCGATAACGTTATTGATTGAATGGGTTTTTTAATATTTATTTATTTTTATTTTTTTGTTTTTTGTTTTATGCTGCAGGCACCGAAGTTTCAAGACCTGGTGAGCGAGGAGCCGCAATCGAATTGAACGGTGGCGATGTACTTCTCGATGGTGAACACTTTCGGGAGAAACCACGCGAAGCCGTCACCATTGCCTTATGGTTAAAACTGTGGAGAACCGGTGGAGTTCATTCCATTTTTGACACAATCGGTGGACATTCTATTCACAGCAAAGGACAGTACCACTTTGAGGTGTACGATGGGCGATTGAGGTGGTTCCATCGTAATGAATACGCTAAGGAAGTCTTCAATGTCAGGACTTCGCCAGTTCTGCAGCCAAATCTGTGGTACCACGTTGTAGGCACTTACGATTCGCGCACGCACATGGCCAAAGTCTTTATCAATGGTGACTTGGTAGGAGAGGGTCGTGGCAGTGGTATGCTCTCCCTAGATTGGGAAGCTAAAGCAGGGTTTGGTTCGCATTCTGGGCGAAGGATTTTACTCGGCTACCTTGATGAGATCTATGTGTTTAGGCGGGCGGTTCTGGAGAAGGAAATTGATAGTTACTTGGAGAATTCTAACAGTGACTCTCTCTTTCATTCGGAATCCAACTCTGCTCTCACGGAGACTTTCACTGAAAGTCCTTCTGATGATAGCTTTTCAGATGTTAATACAGACTCTGTTTGGTTTTCAAAACCAACAAGCCACTTAAGTAATCTTCCCATCCAGAGTACTTCTAACAACAACATGAAGTTCATGGACCAAGCAAAAAACAATAGTGCTTCAACACTTGGTACAACAACAGTTGTTGTCAGCGCCGCTAGAGAAAAATCGGGATCGGAAGAAACATTGAAGATGCCAACAGTGACGTCACCGCAAACGACAGATACAACTACAGAAATAACCACATTATCAACGACGCCGCCAACCACGTTGAAATCAACAACGATGCTCAAAATGACTGCGTCACCTCATACAATAGGCGGCACTCCACCAGAAAGACTCAAAACGTTGTGCAGATTGGGAGATGTTTATAGAAATAGAGATCTTGTCGGTGGATTAGGTGCAGGAAATTTCACCGACAAAGGAAAGGTTGATACCATTGAGGAGTGTATGAAAATTTGCTGTGGAATACGAGATTGCTCTGTAGCTTACGTAGTGGAAAACAACTGCTTTGCCATAACTTGTACGGAAAAGGAGCAATGTAAAACGTTTATCAAGAGCCCGTCGGAAAATAGTCCTGTCATTGGATTTGTGAATCGAAGCGGGCCAAAAGGTGAGTTACCCCGAGCCATTTGTCGTGTCCGTAGAAGTAAATAAATTTTTTTCGATGAATATCTTTTTTTTCTTTTGATCTGTTTACAAAGAGCATCTATGTGCTCTGATAAATCATATGTATGCGAGGAAAGCATCCAAGTGCTCGCCAGGCCGCTATTGTTAAGTCTGTTTTTACCGTAATATGAAAGTTGGGTATAAACTATTGCCATCGGCAATTTTTCCTTACTTTATTCCTTGAATTTCTTCCTCCAGAATCAACTTCTCGTCCTTCTACGAAGAAGGAAAATGAGAATCTAGCTTCTCCAGCTGATGATACACCAGTAGAACCAAATGCAAAGTCATTGGACGCCCCACAAGGTGATAAAGAACCTCCCTTCAACTTGATTGGCATGCTTTCAACTAAGAAGCCCACTCTAAATACGACACCTGAGCCTCCACTATCGAGCTGTAACTATGGCAGACTTTACCACCACGTGACTTTAGTGGGCGGGCTCCGTGCTGGGGTTTTTACACGGCTAGCTGAGAATACGGACATGGACGAATGCGCTCGGAAATGCTGCGCCCGGAGGTCATGTGATGCTGCGATCCTCATGAGGTCCACGTGCTTTGGACTTCAGTGTTCCAGTTCAGAACTCTGTAGTACCAGGCCGTCACGTCTAAAGAACTTTTCTCTTCACATAATGTATATATACAGAGGAGAAACCAACGGTAAGTCTCGTTCGGATATGTGTTGTAATTAAGCTTTTCACTTGGAGTGAGATGCACTCTGAGGCGAAAATAATATATTTTATCGGATTGCGCAAGGAGTAAGAAAGATAACAAAAGTGTCTAGCTTTTATTATGGTTGACTTATCCGTAAATGTCAAAGAGCCACTTGCAACAAATGAATTTGTTTCTTTTCCTTCTCTAGCTCGGACTACGCCAACACAAACTTTCAAGACAACAGAACCATCTTTAGAAGACCTTCTCGGAGATGTGAAACCCACGCAGTCTGCTACAACTATGTCGCCGCTGAACAACATGCTCGGCTTTCCTCGCATGGAAAACAATCATGAGACTTATTCCAAGCCTTTATCCGAGTGCTCTCAGGGACTGATGATCAACGATGTAATCTTAAATGGTGGCATGGGTGCTGGCGAAGTTTCTCAGTTTCCCCGCGTGAGTGATATACAGCTTTGTATCGAGAAATGTTGTTTGACTACAAAATGCCATTTGGCTTATGTCATACAAGCGGTATGCTACACCGTAAATTGCTTCAGCCGTGATCTCTGTCGAACGAGACCTATCGAGGACACGGCGGTCCACTCAGTGATCGCTTACATCAAAAGGAATGGCCTAGCGATGTTTAGCAGCGCCAACGAAGCGAGCGTGATGCAGCTTGGGAACGCCAGCATTGCCTCACCTGAAGGTAAACCAAGTCCTACCGCCGGCGCAGTTGGAGCTCCTCAGAACAACATGATCTGCCAGAAAGACAGAACGTTTTACAACGTACAGCTGAAGGGAGGTCGGAGCGCGGGTCAATTCACCGAGAGAGGCCAGGTAATGGATATCAGTCAGTGCATAGGGATCTGCTGCGAGGAAAGATCATGTGACTTGGCCTACACGGAGGGTCAGCGGTGTTACACGGTGAAATGCAACAGTCAAGACACGTGCAAGCTTATCGAGGCTAGTCCTCTCGCGGTCAAGACTGTCTTGGGCTACGTCAATAGGCTGAAAGACAACAATGTTTTGCAAGGTAAGATATACAATTCAAATCCTCAAATATGTGTTGTTGGTTTTTCTTTATCAATATTTTGATGTTCAATCAGAGTGAGATGTAAAAATAGTCAGAAGACTTGTAATGCGTACTTCAAGAGGGCAGGCGACAGGAAACTTTATAGCCCACTATTTAATTTTTTTCACAGTCACTTCACGGCCGACTGAGCCGACCGCGGCAAGGTTACAAAGTACGGTTGTTAAGAATGTGGATGAAAATGGTAGTCACAACAAAGAAGATGACAAACAGGATGCCTCGAAACCGTATCATGTCCTGAAACAGAAATTACATAAACACAACCAACATCATCGTCATCATCACCATCAAGGTAGAACAACAACGATTTCAAAACTACTCTATTTCTAGAGAAAAAAATAGGAAAACTAAGCTTAACAGTTCATTTATTGCTATTCGTTGTTCTTGTTGTAGGTGAGCAGAAGTGTCCCGCCAAAAGATACGGCTGCCAACATCATTGTATTCATCTCCCGGATGGAGGTCATCGTTGCATCTGTCGCCATGGCTACAGTTTGGCGCAAAACGGAAGACATTGCGAAGGTAAAAGTTACAAAACATGTCATTATCAGCAAATCATATGTCCTAAGTATATCTTTTGATCGTTGAAAAGAAAACTTTGATTTACTCCTTTCAGTTTTAGAATTCACGAGAATGTCGGAAATAGAATCCTGTTCCAGCCAATTTGGAGTCAAGCGAGCATCAATGCGATACTCGACTGCCTAACTGTTTTGGAACTCTTATTAAAGCCTAACATGCCATCGATAGTTATTTAATATAAACTGCCCCTAGTGAAATGAAGTAACAATGATAATCCATCCAACGAATGCAATTCGTTGAAGAGTAACGCCATATGTTTCACATTTTTCACAGACGTAGACGAATGTACCGATAACACGCATGGCTGTGAGCATGAATGCATAAATTATGAGGGCAGTTACCTGTGTGAGTGCCACAGTGGATTTATGCTGAACAGAGACTCGAAACATTGTGACGGTAAATAACTTTGACTAACATGTAACGTGCCTTAAAGATTCAGAAATGACATCAAGATCGTAGAGATCGTTCAGCGTGAACTCTTCTCTGGTCTCAAAGCAAATTTCCAAAAGTTTGCATGACATAAACCGCTCAACTTGCTGGTTTTTGCTTCATTTTATTAACGCCTTTTTATTTCCCATTCCAGACCTCGATGAATGTACCATGGGTGTCCACAGCTGTGAGCAATCATGCCACAACACTCCTGGAAGCTACAGCTGCTCCTGCGAAGAAGGGTTTCAACTCCGTGCAGACAAACGACACTGTATAGGTATGTCTATTGAGCATTGCGGTTCTCACGCTCATTTCTCATTTCTCGGTTCTCAGTTCTCGGTTCTCGGTTCTCGGTTCTCGGTTTTCAGTTCTCGGTTCTCGGTCCTCGTTTCTCATTTTTACTTCCCACTTCTCAGTTTTCACTTCTTATTTCTCATTTTCCTTTTTTTTTTAATTCTTATTCACTATTTCACTACTTCTCATCTAATCATTGGCGCTAATTTTGCACGTATCTTTTTTTTTCCAGAAATCACAGAAACGGGATCCAAGAAAGATCAAGATTATGCAGCTTTCTCCGGACTAGAAAGTAAATGATAAATTTTCCTTTAATCAAGTTCTATATCCAGATCCCTCTTTTTTATGGCCAATATTAAAAATTATTTTTTTTCTACTTTTTAACCCCTTAGTCCCAACAGCAATAACACAATCACCTAAGGATCTCAGAATAACCCAGTTTGAATCCGGGATCTTTCACTGCAAGGCGCGTGGCCACCCAGCGCCTCATATCGCTTGGGCGTCAGGGTTTAATGGTGACCAACCCATCCCTGCTGAAGATAGGTTCAAAATTCTACCCACCGGCTCCTTGGTGATAAGTCAAGTCAATTTCACTGATCAAGGGATGTACCGATGTGTAGCGTCCAACCCCGCTGGGAGTGCTACGGCAGCAGCTAGTCTTACTGTGAAAGGTAAGAGTAAATATCGTATATTTTTCCCCGTAGCTGCCGGATATGATAATCCGGTTGTATCGTGCTCAGCCCTTTTCACTTGTTCGGTTGTTTACTTTATTGTTTTTGTTTTTCTCTTTTTGGTGAATTGTACTGTTACTTTGCATTGTGCGCTTTGGCCGGGCCTGGTGATGAAGGCTCTACGCATTTAATTTCAGGCTTTTTTTTCGTCCTTTTGAAGTCATGATGAAGATTTTTGGTACAAAAAAAATAACTCTCCTTTAGCAGGAGAAACAAGTTTTTTAAACTAAATAGGACATTGTATAGTACTGTCAGTTCAGCATTTGTAATTTTCCATGTCTTTCTTTAAGACTTCGACGAATGCAAAGCCCGCAGTCATGACTGTCAGCAATCTTGTGTTAATACTCAAGGCAGCTTTAGATGCGAATGTCATTCCGGATTTATGTTGCAAAGGGACAGAAAAAGCTGTGAAGGTATTGTAACGTTATACCACAGACGTATAACAAAAAGAATATAAAAAATAAATAAACCCCAAAATATTCCGTATACATAGTGTGACTTTAAGATTAAGAGGTCGATTTTTTGAGCTTTTACTCATTCGATATATAGCAAACTAAATATGGTATTAAGATAAATATAGACTCAGTTAATGAGATAGTTGATATTTCTTATGTCAATGAAGTCACAAAAATATATATTTCCCATTTCTCCACCCATCCTTTAAAAGGCTGACATATTTATCATTCTTACTCTCCTTCAAATAATCATTTTTCATTTTTATTTAAAATAGTTCAAGCGATTGTTCAACTTTGTTTGACGATCATTCATGCGTCTTTTTCCAATGTCTTCTTTTTCCTTCAGATGTTGACGAGTGCAATGTTGGAAGTCATTTTTGTGATGACGTTTGTCAGAATACCCAGGGTAGTTTCACCTGTCACTGCAGGTCAGGATACAGACTGATGGCGGACCTCAGAACTTGCTTTGGTATTACAACCGTTTCTGTAATAACCTGATATTTATTCTAGTTATTCTCTGTCTATAAAAAACAAGGTCAAGTTTGGTATAGACCCACTTGGCTCTTCCGGCCTTAGCTTAACTTGGTTTCCATGGCAATTTTTACTTCCCTTAGCTGAGTAATTTTTTTTTTTTTGGGGGGGGGGGGAACAATGGGCTCGTTTAGTGATGTTCTAATTTTACAGGGATTTTTTTCTCTTTTTTTCTGCAGATATTGATGAATGCACAGAGCCCGCTCATGGCTGTTCTCAGCTGTGTAACAACACTCTTGGTAGTTATAACTGTTTCTGTTTGAAAGGCTACTTGCTGGAAAAGGACAACAAAACATGTGTTGGTAGGTTAAGTTCCAAAACTAGTAGACTTTTTTTTTTACCTTGGGCTAGTTTGCGTGACTTATGTGATTCCCTGATAAGATTTAGGAGTAAATTGATGCAAAGGTTTTTGAAGAGGGATCAAGTCAATACACAAACTAAACTCCCCAAATAAATTCTCCTCTATGTACTTGTTTTCAGTCGAATACCAACCATGACAAATAAATTAGTAGATTTGATGGTTCCTTGTGGTTTATTGTAAACTTCAATGTGGTGATTTTGTATCAAATTTGATCAAACTGATGAAAATTGACAGTTTCTCCAAAAATAATTGTAGGCCTTATAATGTCTTAGTTGTGGTCTACTACATGAAACGATATCTCCTTAAATTTGTAAATTAACTTTCACTTAATTTTGTGTCGTAATCTACCAGAAGAATACTTAACATTCTCCTAAAAGAAAAGAAACCTAGTCTGTTCTTGTTGCTTACTTGAAATCATCATATTTTCTTTTAGATAAACACGTTCTGTTGGACACTTCCAAACCAACCACGCTCTCAGCTGGTATGGGCGCGTTCGTGGCAGTCGCAGGCGTGAGCGTAATCATCGTGATTGGTACAGTGATGTGTGTTATTCGCTACAGAAGGCGAGCAAGGCTTAGAGGCCTTGAAACGGCGGAGGTGAGGGCAAACTTAATCTTTTCGCTTTTGAATAAATTTTGATTTGGCGATGGCAGTCTAGGATTACGTTGGTGTTGCTTCACTTGGTTCTGTAATTAGCTTGAACGCATTACGCCACACCCTTGATGTATAAGATCTAGAACTGAAACAATCGCGCCCTGGTTACTCATGCTTTCTCACGCTTTAGACCGCTAAGTTATATTTAGGCTGAATTCTTATTGTTTCTTTAAAAAGACACGTGTACACTGTTTTTCCTCCGAGTTTGGCTTTGAGAGCTCAGTCAAAAGAAGCTCAACATTTCTTCAATTTTCTGGCCTTTCCACTCGAGGACGTAAGATAAAATATCCTGTTTGAAAGCCTATAACACCTCATTAAGTATTCCTTTTTGTCGCCGTCTCTTAATGTGCACCTATATCATTCAGAAATATTTCCGAAAAAATGGACTCGTTGAATCACCACAGCAAAAACTTGAACTTCTTGGGTCTTTTTCACGATATGCTCCAGTTGTTGTCGTTGTTGTTGTTTTCATTGTCGCTTTTGTTGTTGTTATTGTTGACTTCGTTGTTGTCATTACCGTTGTTCTTTTCGTTGTTGCTAATTGGTTACTTATTTAGTTCGTTCGTGTGTGATCACCTTACTTAAATAATTTCTGCTCCTTTTTAGGGAGGAAAGAAGTCTTTGTTTTCCTGGTTAGAATAAAAGGGAACTCATACATCAAAGAACGCAACGAATACCTGTTTCCTCTTGAAAAAACGGAGTGAAATTCAGGAGTAGTGGATGTGTTTAATCGCAAAAGATGCTCTATTTTTTATAGAATCAGAATTTTTATATTTATTTTTATAGCAAGAGTCAATTTTTTTTTAATAAACTGTATAAAAACAGAGATGAGCATTTGTTGCGGTATCAAATTAAATACTTGTTTTATTGTATATCATAAACTCATGAAGCTCTCAAATGTTGTAAAGAACACTATATTTGTCATATATTTTTGCTCCTGTATGAAGCTTTTTTGTATCATCGTGTAATTACATTTCTTATACACATTATCAATGCTTGCCTTTTTTGTTTTAATCTCTTTAGTTAAAAAAAAAAAGATCACTTTATTAACCTTGGCTCAAACTAGGAGCTGTGAAGTTGCTGGCATTACACCGTTCTAATTCGTTAATAATTTACTGCGCGTAAAATCCCACTCGGCGCTATGCACGTTTACTCCGATGGTTTGAACACGTGGATCCATTATCAACTAAAGAGAAGATTCCTCCAGCCCCGCTCCCCACCCTCCCTCCTACTAAATAGGCATCTCAAAAAAATTAATTTTAAAGTCGAAGGCAGTTTTTCATGTATTTCTCCCCACTCACGGGTTTGACATTGAATCTTTCATTGACTTATTTACTCTTTACCAGCAATTTTTTTTTAAAGTTCCTTGATATTTTTTTGTTAAAAAGAAGCAAAATAGAGACCCAATAATGTAAAGCTTTTTCCGAATTTTGAATGTTGCCTTCGATCCATAAAACTCACGTTTCTGAATATTTCTCATTTTTATCCACTATAAATGTCCTTTTAAAGTGTACAACTCGATGGGGAAAGACGAATTTGCCCTCTTTGACCAATGAAACTTAACTGATTAGCAAACGGGATTATAAATCACAAAATATTATTGGGAACAAAGGATATGTTTTGGCTCAATTATGTATTAGATTAACATCGTTTGTGATTGGCTGGTCTAATCAGG